TTGTTATTGTACGCAAGTTGCTCAGGCTGCATTAACTCAGTTACAAAGCTGTATAACATGAGCACAAACAGCACAACTTCAGTCGACTCCATCTCCATCATGTCTGAGGTCGGAAGGTAAACAACAGACGCCTAATGTACAGCAAGTGGGTGGGCGTCGCAGTATACGCGGGAAGTTTTTCTTCTTCTCTTGTTTTTGTAGCGGATTGCAAACAACTTTAAGGTGCATACCGCCACCTACTGTACTCGCCATGAAGTGGTTTGTGGCCTGCCAGTAAACCCAAAGCAGAAGAAGAAGAAGTGACGTCAGCGACTCATTTGCGTAATCTTCCCTCAGGGAAAAGTACTCCGGTGTGAACGCGATTGCCCTGGGGTAAAAAGTGCCGGGGCACTGAGTGCCGGAACTAAGTACTGCAAAGTACTTGGTGTGAACGTGCCTATTGCGCACTGCATTGAGGGGCTTCTCGGCTGGGTGGGTTGAATAGCGGGGTTGGCTTGGTTTGAGTTAAGGCGTATCCCGGCTTGTTGGAATCAAGGGAATTACCATTTTATATACACATCCCTGGCTGTGTGTGTGTGTGTGTGTGTGTGTGTGTGTGTGTGTGTGTGTGTGTGTGTGTGTGTGTGTGTGTGTGTGTGTGTGTGTGTGTGTGTGTGTGTGTGTGTGTGTGTGTGTGTGTGTGTGTGTGTGTGTGTGTGTGTGTACTAAGAATACGTGTGTGTGTGTGGTTAAAAAATATGACTAGGGAACTCAGGGGGTGTAGGTCTATCTGGAAAGCACCGCCTACTAGAAGTTTCGGTTTCCACACAGACTAATGGACAACATGCAGGTCTGTCAAGTTTCCAGCAGGTGGTGCTGATTAAAAGGTTTTGTATCAAGACCTTAACTGTTGCCAGTCAGCAGTTACTATGGTACTATGGTGATACTGCATTGGCTTTTTAAAGTCACCTGGCTTTCAAATAACTACATACGCAGTTTTAACTCACAATGTCCGACTCTGTTTAAATACACCCCCTGAGTTCCCTAGTCATACATTCCCAAAAGGTGACCTGTGTAGCTCTGTAAAGCAGTTAACAGATTCAATCCCCCCCAAGTCAAGAAACATATGTTTTCCATGAGGTGGAGCATACTGTATCTACAGTGCATGCCTCATGTTTTGTGTCTCAGAGGAACTGTAAATATTAATAATCCTCAAGAGTCAATACATTCCATCTTTTAACTTTTTAATGTCTGTAGGGCCAAAACATGACCATACTTGACCATTTTTATCATTTTATTCATGTCCTCATTGTCCTGTAATGTATCGTACTTAAATGTTTTGCTGAAGGTTAAAGGTGGGGTAGGTAATTTTGGAGAAACCAGCTTGAGTGCGCTAGAATTTGAAAATACACAGCCGGAACAAATCTGCCACTTCCTTACAGAGCCCCTCCTCCAACACACACGAACGCGCACATGACCAATGAGGGCACGAGATAAGTTTGTGCACAGATGGAAGGCTGACAGGCAGGTAGGCCATCCAGTTATTTTAGCCGGGCCGGCTAAAATGATTGGTCGTGCTTTTTACAGTACTACGGCTTCCACAGATGACATTTTTTTATGGATTTTTTGTCAAAGCACTTTAGATATTCATTGCTATCGGGATGTTAAGAGCATTCCATGGAATATAACAAAAAGTGTATCTCGAGCCGGTTTCTCAAACTTACCTACCCCACCTTTAATTTCAACATATAAAAATGTGTTTAGAATCCTAAAATGTATACATAGGAGTGTGAAGAGCCCCAGTTTTAAACTCCACTGTGAAATTATTTTAACTTTTAAAAAGCATGTTTTTGTTGAGCGGCTGTAACCTTAAGCACTCCTGCTTACTTTTCAATCAGTATATATCTTGGCCTGATGTTACATCTTATAATATTAACTTTTCACTGACGTGTGATTAAAATATGTACTCAGAGTCAGGTTTCTGGGTTTAAACACATGGCCCCTAAACAAACAGGAATGCCAATCAAACTGCAGCCTTTATATCAGGCTTGTGTAGCAGGTGGTGACAAGTTACTCTCCTGAGTCCCTCTGGGGATGACATCACCAATGTCCGAAAAACATACGAGGGCTTTATGACATGTGAAAGAAATGATAGGGCTTTGTGGATTGACTTACTTTCCCTCAGGGTGTTGGAGGATGTCTGCTTCCTGCAGATCTGACAAGTTGTTCCATGTGTCCATTAATCATAGCAACATATCCGCCCGTAGGTGGCCAGTCGATCAATACCTCATCACACTGCATCAATGTTAGAGCAGCAACAATCGTGATGATCGATTCATATTTAGTCAGTTTCCTATGCAAAAATGACATATATTGTGTCTTCAGCCACTTAAATTGAGATCTACTGTTTTTCTCAGTTTTATTTTATATTGAAATGAATATCAGATCCCCTATAGCTTATTTGGTAACGCTGGTGGCCCATGTGCTAAGGCTCCTTATCACAGGGTCCCAGGATGGAATCCGAAATGTGGCCTTTGGTTGCGTTTCACACCCTCTCTCCATGTTTCCTGTATATCTATATGTTATAACAAAGGGAACATTCTAAACATTTGAACTTTAATATAAATTAGTGGACATTTTATAGACCAAAGGATTATAAAATTAAGTAAAAAAACAAATGAGCAGTTTAATCAACAATAAAAAATGTCATTAGTAGCAGCACTAATCAAAATCAATTTGTATCATTGGGTTTGGTTATTTGCTTGTGATATGTTGTTTAGTCAACTGACTAATACTACAATAGAAATATGAGTCAAGGACAATCTGCATTTCAAAATATCCCTCTTAACTCTCTTACTTTGGTATCATCATTCTCCATCAGCATATTTGCTGAATGTGCTGGAACTTCAAAGGCTGATGCTTAGCAGGAATGTGTTGTAAAACTGTAAACATTAGGATGGGGCAATAAACCCGTCAGTTCACACAAACACCCAGCGTGAGAAGATAATTTCCACGGTTTACACAGCAACAAACCCATCCCTTTCATGGTGATCGCAGCCAAAATTAAAATCCCATGTGACTGAAGCCATAGAATGGAGGAAAAACTGTTGCGAGAAGTGTAGAAAATGAAATTTCTTTTGAGTGTTTGAGCACAACAGGAATTTGACCCCTGACTCCCATTTACGTTCGATCCTCCTTCATGTTAATTCTGGGAAAGAGAGAGAGCTGCAGTCGAAACATGTAAACTGTATTTCACATCCACAGAGGAATGTTGGCGTGTCCTCACAATGTTGTCAGTCAGTATGCCAAGATAAGAGCTCTGAGTTCATAAATAAGATTGATGGTGTTTCACATACCACCAGTTCCTGCTCTGTGTTTTCCCATACAAGCATCCGCACTATCTCACAAGTTCATATCCTCTCTGCCCAAGCCCAGGCATGCTTAGTCCTTTTAACATATTCCCCATCCAACTATCAAACCACAACACAGGAGACATTTAGCCTTTGCTTGTTCAGGTGTGAATATGAATAGAAAAAAGTTTCAACATTGGCACAAACATTGACATAAATAGATTACTTTAAAAGGTTGTGTATTGGCCCTGAGATGCCACTTTATTAGTTAGGAGGCTTAAGAACAGTTTATTACAAAACAAATAGCTCTGATTTGATATACAGTGTATTCAACAAAGATGTTTAGGATCAAAAGGAAACAGAATGTGTTAGTTACTCCCTTAACCCAAGCTCTACAGGCTGAAAGGTTGTGTTAAGTATAAATGACCAAGAGTGTCTGTTAGCTTTCTACTTTTTTGCAACTTTGCATTACTATATGACATTTTTACTGTGTGAATACAATAGAAAAATCACCATCAGCTCCTTAACTGGCAACATTTCAACCCATCACACATATTTGTGTGTGTTGGGTTGAGTATTAGTTGTGTTGGGTGGTTGGAAACATCACTAATAAGCTCAAATTCCAGCGTGCAGGTATACTTTTAAAGTGTATTCTTATGATGATTTGATACAAAGATCCCACCGAGCTTTTGTGGAAGTGCACATGAAAACTCTAGCCCTTTTTTGTATCTCTCTGTCTTTGTAATGAAACACTATATGATTGTTAAATGTTAATTAATGAATCAATGGTCATGGATTTCACCTTTTCTATAAAGCCATTGATTCACAGCCTTGCATATATCATTTAAAATGTGTGAAATCTTTCTCCCACAGGCACATTTTGTGTTGCACACACATCATGCATGCAGTGGGATGACTAGTGAAACATGTGAGTGGACCTGGATGACACCATAACGTTCATTGTTATTCTCATTGTCCTGCTACATTGTGAGGTCTCATTGTCAGCCAGCGCTGCTCAACCGCCCCAAACTGGTACAAGTCGATATCAGTGGCTCTGTGTGTGTGTGAGTGTGAGAGAGAGACAGAGAGAAAGAGAGAGAAGCATCCATCCTGAAACAGACACCACATAACAGAGCTCCATTCTCTCATCTTCATATCCAATGGCGTGTCCTGACATTGTTCATAAACACCTCTGGGGGCGAGTTAAAATGGAGGCAATAAAAGTTTATGACTGCAGCACATGTTAGCCAAGGTGGATGGAGGCACGCAGGAATTTCAAAAGGCATTAGCGGCTAATCTGGGAGAAACCTGTCTTTGTCAATTATTGGGTTACGTGTCCCAATGAGAATGTGATCTATGTCAAGCATGCTCTTCATGGCAAGAAGAGAACAAGAGAGCAGGCCACCCGAGAAAGTTGAACCCAAAAGAATGCGGCTCTGGTATTCATTAATGAAGAGCACTCTTCTCTGTGGTGGAGCGAGGACAAGAATGAGGAGATAGGGTGACAAAGTGAGAGAGAAGGGAGTGAAAAAGGAAGGCAACATTTACCAGAATAACTTTTTTAAAGAAGTATGAACAAAGTTGAGATCATCTTTATGCTAGTAAATAGATGGAAGATATGTTTGGCCAAAATCCTCTAAATGAAAAAGAAACACAAGTCAATGAGCCAGGTAATGTATATTAGAATATTTTATTGCTTTATGAAATGTTGCATGAATTCAACTGTAAAAGCCTTCATATTGTTTGAAGTTCACAGAAATGTCTGTTTGAAGTCAACACTAGGTTGGTTGTGTACAGCTTGACATGACCGTGATTGTCGGCACATAACTTACGACAAACATACATAAACTCTTTGGCATCCTGCTCAAAGCCCTATCGAACCTAAAATAACAATACAAACAAATCTGTAGAAAATATATAATAATAATAATAATAATAATAATAATAATAAACCTGCTTGTTAGTTCAAAGCTCACAGTAAACAAACAAAACAACACGGTGTAGTTTTTCAGCTTTTATCCCACAATGGTGACCAAACCAGCAGAATCACCACATCAGGGAACACACTCACATACTGTAATCACACATGCAAACATACTTTGTTAAGGAAAAAGTCATCAGAAAAACAGATGATGAAATCAACACCAAGATTCAACACCCTTTCAAAATCACTAACAACACCATGTCTGTTTCAGTTTGTCTTTAATATATTATGCATCTCACAGTTCACACACCTCTAAACCTTTGCAGAACCAGCTGCTCGGGCTTCAGCAATATGGACAGCAAGAGCATTTAAATCAGCAGTGTCTCATGTGTTATAAGCTTAAATTATTGAACACAGGGAAGTCTTACACACAGATAAGATCCAAGTGATGGGAATGAGGTTACTCAGATTGACAATTCTTATTGGAGAGGGGGGGAATAGAGGTCACATAGATAACCTTTTATTGAATATGTGTCTTGAAGAGCAGGAGGCTTAAGTTAATATTTGGGGAATGTGGAAACCAGATAAGATAAATATGTAGCTTCTTAATTCACTGGGTTGGGAGAGGAGATAAAGGGGGTTGTGAAGGGGGAAAGCAGCAAATATATATATTTATATAAATATTTAGGCATTCACTCTCTGAAAACATGTTGCCCTATTACAATCCACAATACTGTCCAAGTACCTCAGAAGATTAGTCTTTTCTCACCCAGCCGGGCAGACTGCCTGCAGCTGTCCAGCTTAGTGAGAGGGAGTGAGGCGGAGCACAGCTCTGTCTCTAAAAATGTGAAAATGGTCCTCATTTTTTGCGTGCATTGGCCTCTTTCCACGACATTCTTGAATCCAATATTCAATCCACTCTTTTCAAAGACTTGCACTCTTCACAGATTCTCAGAATTGTTATTTCTTCTCATTCAAAATCCACCTCCCGGTTCTTTAAATGAAGATTTCCACCGCCTCTGAATCCAGCTCATCCAGGCCTCTGAAGGGGTTTAATAGCAACTTCTTAGGCGCTGCCTTGTCTGGAAAAAAGAAAAGAGATAGAATGAATAATTTTAGGCTAAACCAGTGGAAAAATGTCCCAGATACAGCTCAGCTATTAATGACTAAAGGTTAACAGAGATTTTCCACACTCTAGCAGACCACTCTGGTAAATATGCTCAGTCAACAGATCCACATTATTTCCTAACCATGCACATTCCTCAAAGCCCACATTATGAACCATGACCTGGACAGATGGTATCTGATTGGCTGGTTAAGCAGCAGTGTGGTTAATCAATCTGAAAATCCATGAAGCCGGGGTCCAAAACTCCTTTCATGAAGAGTATTAAAAAGCTGTGTGTGTGTGTGTGTATGCTTTGTATAGCGGACTCTGAGCTTGTGAACGCTTGTTTATTCATGTTTGCAAATAATTTATCATTCGGGTTTTATACTGAGAGCATTCTCTGATGGTTTCTTGGCATCGTAAACAAACTCACTTATGCATATTTGATAGATCACTCACCACTGTTGAGCTTAGTCGTGCTGGCAGCCTCTTTGGCTTTCGTCCCCTCCACCTGCAGCTCGAGCGCTCCAGGCTCAGACTGAGCGGAGAACTGATGGCTTGGCAAAGTCTGATCGTCTGAGAGACTCTTACCTAAAGAACAACAGTATCTGTCAGAAGTGCTTTCGTCTTTTATCGACATTTTTACCCACAAACAATACTTTTTATGTTTGAATATAATGTACAGAGTTGACCCTTAGGCTACGTTTTGCTGCTTACCTCGACTCCTTGTGTTGCTCAAGGCGGTGTTGATGGAGGGGGTGGAGGAGGCGGGTCGGAGAGATGCCCCCACTGTATTCAGGAGGTTTGGGCGGGGGCTGTGTTCGTCCTTCCTCCCTTGGTCCTGGTGCAGCCGCTGGTTGAGGATCTTGATCACAGCGTCCTTCTCCAAGATCTGAGCGTAAAGAGCACGGATCCTGTTCTCCATCTCCTGATTCCTGTAGTCGGCCACCGGCAGGTCCTCGTTGAAGCTGTTGTTGGAGGAGTGGCAAGGTGAGTGGTTAATGATGGTGGTGTCTCTGCAAAAGGAAATGACAACGTGCAGATGTTAACTCCAATTCAAATGAGCAAAAACGTGTACTTGTAATGTTTTGAGAAATGTGGAGCTAAGTTCTTTACCTCTGTGCAGCGGCGGTGGCAGCCACCTCCATGGCAAACTGCCTCATGGTGCTTTCTTCCAGGTACTTCTGCTCCCAGCGCACCATGTCGGCCTCGAGGGCCAGGATTCGCTCCTCGCGCTCATGCAGGCGCTCTTGGAGGGAGCCCATTGTCACTCCTGGTGGCTGAGTCTGCCTCTGAGGTGGAGAGAGAAAATATTGAATACAGATGCCAAAAAACAACTAAAAACTACTACTAGAGAAATCAACGTTTTTCCTAGTTTTCCTAAGACAGGATGTTTACCTGTTGTGCCCTCAGAGTCCTCAGCTCCTGCTCTAGTCGCGTTCTCAGCTTCATCTCCAGGGTCTCCCTCTTCTCACAGGTGGACTGCAGCTGAGCCAGCGCACTCTGAAGTCTCTCAACCTTCTCCACATAAGCCCTCTTCCTCCTCAACTCGTCTTCAAGCTGGCGGCCTCGTCCACGAGCTGTGTCCAGCGCGTCCTCGAGATGCTTTGACCTTTTGTTCTGCTCCTCCACTGTGGATCGCAATCGCTCCAACTCCCGCTCTACGCGCTCCTTCTCAAAGTTCTGCTCCTCATCTGAAGGAAAGAAAAAGATGGGTGGGACGGTTTAGTTGCATGTTTTATAAACGTGGGCATGATTTTTTTTATAGCAGTTTGGACATAAGTGCTATTGGATGAAATGTGAAATAATTCCCAATCTGTCTGAAGTTCCTTCTCAAATACGTATGTGCATCAATCCGTAATTACTCCCTCCTAAATCCAATCACAGTAATAAGTACCAGAGTTGCTACATGGTGGCCGGTGTTCTTCATTTAGCGAAGCACTCCTGGAATGCTGAGAGGAAGGAGGAGGAGGAAGGGGGAGAAAGCCGCCCTATCCCTTTGACCCACATAGCGCATTGCATTCCTCATCAAGGCCATACAAACACCAACACCCTGCTTGAGTCCAGTTCCTTAAACAGACAACATAAATCACACTAACAACAGGTGGGGGAACCTCATTTCCACTGCTTCTGTGTGATTTAGAGGCCGCTCGTTTCCCTTTGCAAAGAGGTGTGTGGATCGAATTCCCTATAATCAAGCCTTCTCACCAAATAAGCCGAGGTTATGCAAGTGAAATTCCTTCATGCAGGATCCCTTAGCTACAAAAAGGGCCTCATGCTATGCTACCATCTGATCGAATCAAGCCTGTTGATAACAAAGAAGGATATAACAGAGAGCTGGGGATTGGGGGGTGGGGGAGGTCTAGCCAAACAGAAGGACATACTCACTTTGTTCAAGGAGTTTCGCCATGATGTGCTGGTTGTGGTCAGCTGCTTCTACTTCTTTAGCAACATGTGATCTGGCATTTTCCAAGTTTTCTGTATTGCAAGAAAGTTTGAGAATTAGATAACGTTGTAAACTGGATCTGATATTATGGCAGAATACTTCATAGCTTTGTGTATGTGTGGCAGCACTTTATCCATACCTCTTAGGTCTCTGTTGAAATCCTGTAGCCTCCTGATCTCAGACACTAGCCTCTTCCTCAGTGTCTGCTCCAGGTTTTCCCTCTTACAGCTGCCCTGCATCATTGTCTCATAGGCCTCGGAAATACGCTGGATCTCATGCTCCAGCTGAAAAGGGGAAGAATAAGTAGCAAGGAAAGAGGAGATGGAGAGGATTGGAGGAAAGGAGCGCAGAAAAGAAGAAGGAGAAGAGGAATTTTTGGTTAACCTACTTCACATGCCAGGGAGGAGCTGGAATGTTGAATCGTGTTGTTACAGTACATGCATATAGTATACATATAGGCCTGTATGGGTACATATGGGACTGTGTATACAGTACACTCAGTGTGTGTCTATGTGGTATAGTTCTAGAAGGAATTCAAGCCTGCACCACTCCCCGAGAGACTGATTTATATCTACATTCCTGAGGGCTGATAGCTCTAGTTCCAGGTGTGAGAGCGCGCACGTACACACCACAACGCACAAGTTAACACGCAACCACACAAACAGAGGTCTGGGAAGGCTGCCAGCGGAGGGAAGGTGTGCATGCCTGTGCCTGGGTTGAGGAAACGGCAAAGAGAAACCCACCATTATAGCAGTCACACAGGCATGTTTACCCAGGGCTGCGGCCTGACGGAGAAAACTTTCCAACCCTGGCAATTATCATTCTTTAAGGCTGAGACAAGGCAACGGCCATGTGACATAACTCCAATAGAGAGCCGGGTGGATTTTACAAAGTTTGGCTGAGGTGTCAAATATCTCTGAAGCTGTTGTTCCACCACGATGAACAAGAAATGTGCTCATTTTAGGCCAGATTCAATCAAAAAGTAAAACATAAATAAACAAAGGGGCAGTAAACCAGAAGAGAGAAGGTGGAATGGTTGTTATTGAAAAAACAAAAGGGACCTTTCACTTTTTACAAAGCAGCTCACCACCTGCCACGGACTCCCGCCCCACCCCCATCAGCTGTGTGTGCGGGTCACAACCCGATCGACTGCTGTCTGACAAGCCCTAGATTAGGCTGAAAATCTATGGCCTCCATGAAACTAAAGCACGCGCGCACACACACTCTCTGGCCTCCACAAGGTCAGCTCCACAATGAGAGGAGTGTGTAAACACAGTAGCAGACTGTGACCTATGTTTGTGCCTCTGTGGTATGGAGGGTAGCAGCTGCTGATCTCCTCTGTCCCTTCCAGATGAGGGAGTGTGCCTGGAGTTGGACGTTAGGGAGACAACTGTTGACCGGGGTTGTGTTTCGTAGACAGGTGGCTGAGTTTTTAGGATGATGTCTGTCTGGTCAACCATATAAGAACTTTGGATTATGTCCTTCTGGAATTGAGTCGTGGTTGTGCCAACCTCTCATATTCTTATGAGTTTGTTTGTTATTGTCTAACTCCCCTGAATGAAATGTAAATCTAGCTTGAGTTTGCCTGTTCTCACTCCTTCAGCAAGATCTGTGAGATATGTCAAATGCAATAAATAATATGATTTCCTCTCCTTACCTTCTGAATACGGCCAGTCTTCTCCCTGTGTGCTTCCAGCTCTTGCCTCAGCCTCTCGTTTTCCATCAGCAGCAGCTCCACCTGGTTGGGCTCCTCCAAGCCAGCAGGTGGCAGGCTGCTGAATGTGCTGTAGCAGGGCAGTTCAGCTTGCTGGACAGACTGGACATACCTATGAGAGACACATTTCTGAGTAAATAAACAGATTGTAGCCAGCTAAACTTTAAGGTATGAGAACTTCCTTTTTGAGCAACACATGTGAAATATCACTCTATTTCCTCCTATCCGCGAGCAGACAAGCCGACTCCAGTGGCTGCAAAGAATGTCAAAGCCTATATGAGGAACATACTTTTGTAAAAGCATCCCAGGCAACACAAGCATGTGAAAATATCTTGTTCCACTATGCCTGGCATTACAAACACCTGCAGGGTTGGACTTGTTCTCCTGTTAAGTATTTCAAGAAGCCAATCGGCTCGCAGGCTATGGTGTGACTCACATTGATAAGTATGTGTTTACGCATGTGAAAACACCATGACGAGTACTAGTTGATTGGCTCTAGTACAAAAACTACTCCACAGAATATGATGTAATGTTAAAAGGAGTTTAAAAAAACATGTACACACAATGACAGTGAGGTATTTGTACCTGTGCTGCTGTGCTTGCACCTCCTGGCTCTGGTGAGGAATAAATCCTTGGCCCTGGATGGGGGCTGAGTAGACTGGAGGGGGGCTGCGTTTGTCCATGCTCTGCCTCGGGCTCTGGAGGGCCGGCGGTGTGTAGTACGGCAGCTCAGGGTAGCTGTGAGAGGTGCACCTGAGGGCCTCCGCTTTAGCAGCTGCATCATTCCTCTCCAGAGATATCTGCATGCAATGCTCACTGAGAGATCGAACATGGCTGCACTTCAGCTCCATTATATCTGCCTCTTCATGGAAGGCTCCTTCATGCAGGAGCCCCTCGTGGTGCTGCCTGACGGGGCCTGTAGGGGCCCAGTTAGAGGCCAGATACTGAGAGTGTACCTTGGCCTGCTCGTATGTTGGCAGCTCCTCGCCGTGCAGCTGGTAGAGCTGGTAGCCACTCTCTGAGTGAAGGTAGTCTCCCTGGTGCTCCTGGCCCTGGGGCTCCTGCCTGGCAGAGAGCTGAGGGAACGGAGGCTCCTCCTGGGTGAGACTCTCCAGAGAGGAGCGTGGGCTCCTGCCCAGTTCACATCCACTGCTGGGTCCACTGTTGCTCCCACTGCCTCCACGCAGGGCCTGCTGCTGGATGGCTAATAAAGTGCGGGTGTCTGTGGGGTTTCCATAGCGCAGCTGCTCCTGGATCAGCCGGTGCAGGACCGTGCCAGACGGTTCTTCAGTGGATGACATATTGTTTTGAGTATGTTTATCTTCTCTAGCACTTGAGTTGAGTTTTTCTTGAAAATATATATTTTAAATCAGCTGTAAATTTGAAACAGAGCAAAAATAAAAGGGATTAAGTATAATCAGTCAAACAAATAAATAAAACACGAGACAACTGAACAAAAAAAACTAACACTAATGGATTCATATACAGATGAATGGCAGTGTTTGAGGAATGTAGGATTTTGGAATAACAACAACACTATCAACACTGAGATTGTAGATTTCCTTTTTTAGATCTCATTAATACAAAATCTGTGATTGATGTTTAGCTGGAGTATAACATTAAAACATTGTCTACTTTACAAACAGCGACAACATAGAGATGTGGAGACATTTTACACAGCAGGCACAAAAATGCATGCGCCAAACATTCCGATCTCACGGGGGAGCAAAAACACACAAAACTGCATTTTAAAATAACTTCATCTTTGGAGTTTAAACACAATTGTCCATTTTAAAGAATGTGAACTACTCGAAACTCCTTCACAACAAACAATACTCTCAAAAACTCGAACCAGAAGTTACGATGAAGCTACTTTCGTCATGTTTGTGATCGTTTTTTTCTATTGTTTAAAAAGGAAGATTAAAACAGGCTTTTCTTACCAGCTCACACTCTCATGATAACAAAACGTTGTTCTCGATGTCGAAGTAAAAAAAGTCAGAGTAATTCCACTTTTTCCATGAGTTTATAGAGTCAAACTTGTCTCATGTTGCTCCCCCTCGACGGGCTGCTCTCTCGCTGTGAAATGAATGTGAAGAGCAGAGGCGGCGATAATAAGTAACCGAGGAGGGACTGAGGTCGGAATGACAGGAATGTAAAACGCGAGGTCCCTCTGGGATCAAAAGCGTAAAACCACACGGAGGGGGGGGAGGCCGCACTGCGCTTAGCATTACCAATGAGGAGTTAAAAAGAAGTTTAGGAGAGGACATTTGAGCCTTGGAAATAAATGTTTTAATGCTCAGTGAAAGGGAAACATATCTGTGTCGTTATCTGGCACACAATCTACTTCCTAGCACCATGTGTGTTGTGTTGCTATAAAGAACTAATGCAGTTGTGGAAGGGGTATTCAGATCATTTAAAGTGGAATGTTGGAATATCTGAACAATATTTGACTTGTGTAGTACAACACAAGTATTAGTAATAGTTCTCAATACGCTCAATGCCCCCTGTTAAAGCTCATATTTTATAAACTGATTATATGTTGTGCATGTAGAATCTTAATTTGAAAACTGTAATTATAAATATAGCCCACGTGGTAGAATAAAAACATGTATTTACAATAATTTCCCTATATGAAGTATAAAGTAACATAACATGGACCTAACACTACCTTAAACAAGTGTTACCATAGATCTTTATTATTGATAGTTTGACTTGAATGTTGTTGTTGGTCAAGGTGAACCTAATTTGATCTATATTTTAGTAGTTTTATATTTTAATCATCACAATGTTTTATGTAGAATCTTAATCAGAGAAGTTATACTGGCTGTTCATAGTTGAGTAAAGAAAACAACATTTATCTCTGAAAACCAGTAGTAAAAATATAAAGAGGCATGCAATGGACACACTAAAGTTAAAGCGCTACAACTTAGACCTTCGCACCCCTAAAGTTTGGTTGCTTGTAATTTAGTATCCTGGAGGAATTCAAGCTCCTCTTCACTGCTGGACACGAGTAAAAGGTATTCTTGTCTGTGAAAGTGTGTTGAGACTATGCATGCCTTAATGGTGTGTGTGTCCCTGCGTGGTGTGTGGCAGCTGTCCACTGGAATCTGAGGTCTGCATGTGCCCCATTACTACAAACACAGTGGCTCTTTGTACCCGACATCACACTACATGGTGCAGAGCAGAGCCTGGAGAATGCCACACATGGGCACAAATCCCAAACATGCAGGGGTCGCGCTCCTGCTGAGACCAGGTTACTCAGAATCACAACATGTGTGGATGGCTGGAGGACAGTCAACCCTATAGCCATTTACATATTAGGTAATGGCATTCACTAATTCCCAACCAGGGGTTCTTGTACCCTGGGGGAATCCTACATTCCAGGAAGTACTTTTACAAATTGGGATAAGCTCAACTAATTTGAAATAAATTGATAAATCTAAATAATATACAAATTCACAGTCAGAGTCAATAACAACACTAACCACGTGTAAGTGTATGAAACAAAAAAGGAAGAAATATAAATAAACAAAAAAGCTAGCTAGAATGGTAAAAGGATCCACCCAATGTAATAGCCAAAAGTCTAAATAGCGTTTTCATCCGCCACTGAAAACATCAAATTCTTGGACCTCACACGACATTGTTTGAGACACCGATCAAGCACATTACCTTAATTGATTTGCTCCAGGCTCTGCATCGGGCCATATGAATGTCCCGTGGATTCTTAACAAGCCAGTCTTTGTAAAAGTCTTTGGTGAGCCACAAGTCCTTGAATTTCCATTTTCTATGCATAGCTGAAGGTCCCCTTATTGTTAGCTTTGTTGTGTGCTTGCCCCCGTTTAACCTGTATCCGGTTCCTTCAGACCCGCAGGTTACATGTAAAAGTTATTGAGTAAATCCTTTTAACAGTTAGTTCAAAGTAGCTTTATGGATAAAGATTGCAACTCCTAACTCAATCTGCAACTCTCATTGGTTGTGAATGAGAAAGGAACAAACTGCCCTTAAAATTGACAGTTAAATCATATAAAAATATCCACTATAATGTTATAGTTTATATCCAGTTTATTATAGACAATGTTTGGAACATGACGGGTACAGTTCGATCTAATTGGTCGTACAGTTTAATAGATTTCTAAGGCCTCCTTCACACGGGAACGTTTGCGTTTATGCACAGTATGCGTATTCAAAAAAGTCTTCCGTTCACATGCATTCGTTTCATTTAACGTGTCTGTTCAAACGAGACCGCTGGAAACGCTGTAGTACATATGCCGGGACTGTAAGTGGCGCTGTAACTTCCGCCAAAATACACCAAAAGCCGCGAAGAAGAGCAGCCCGGAGCAGCCCCGCAGCAATGTTGCCATGGCTACCCTTCTGTTTACGCCCCGCGGTGTATTTAGCAACATGTAGTTCATGTAATTCTCCATGTCCACTTGTTGCTGATGGTTGTGGTAGAGGAGCTGTAGATTTTGCACTAATATCTGTAGCATGGTCAGTAGCAGTAGCACTAGCAGTAGCTACTGACAGGAGGAAGTGTGTGTGGCGATTGCTGGTATTCAGCGGGATATAGTAATTTCCTCAGCATATGGATAAATGCAACGGGGAAGTTAACTGAAAGAAACCAAATCTGTGGATATTGCATCGACCGACCAAGAAGCACGTCTCCGTGGAGAGGACGCGCTCAGAAAGAGAGATATTCTCTACAAACACCGGGTGAGATCACTCCTCTGGGACAAGCCGGTCCTCTGCCTACAAACATTTCTCTTTTTGCCGCTGACGGGCGCAGGAGCAATGAACAATAATGGCCTGGATTAGGCAGTAAAGACAAGTTTGGTGTATCGCAGAGCGGACTGTTTAATTTTGTTTGTGTTGTTTGGCTGGAAAATTGTCAATATAATGGATCAATGCATGAAATCTGACTCTGTTTATTTTGTTTAAGGAGTATATTGGGCGTTAACAATTCTGGTTTGCCTTTTATAATATTATTTCATTCAAGAACCCCTTGTGCGTTTAATTAACACAGCTATTTTTGATAGTTGCTACAGCAGTGAGCAGGAGAGGTGGGGCTATCGTTATTTTTTCAGGAAATATTCGTATAGAGGTGATTACACGGACTCGGTTGACCCCCCAGAGCGTTTCGTTTGCAAATCTATCCACCTTGGGACCCGTTATCGTTTGTGGGGTCAGTTTCTATCGGCCTCGTGTAAATAATAGGGCTATACGCACGCGAAACTATGCAGATACAAGCAGTTTTCTCCTCGTGTAAACGGCGCCTAAATCTCCTCCAGATTATTGACCAAACAACATCATGAACATCCATTTGTCGTTCCTTGAAGATATAAAATTCCCGCCTGGAGGAAGAAGTAAATCTTTATGATAGGTCTTATTTATGTCTGAGCCAAATGACAAGACTGAGCTATTTATTACCCGCTTAAACCTAACGGCTATATTGAGGACTTTAGACAGGGCCTTTTACTGAGGGCCCTTTAAATAGCAGAGATTTTAGTCATAACAGACTAATCATGTCTTCAGGCAGTGGAGGAAGCGACCAATAGGGAGGGTTGCATATGCTATCCTTCTTTTGCATAATCTACATTTTTCCCACCAGAAGCCAAAGCATGAGCAAACACATGCAAACTGAATTGGTAAAGAATTGGGTTAAATCAAAGCACAACTGTCATTGATTGTCTCTAAAGCATGTGGCCGCTGGCCTCAGGCTGATTATCTCATTAATCCCAAAAATCTATAGACTCAATGAGTTGCTACAAACTCACCATGGTATGTGCCTACATCTACTCTCTGGCCTTTTCCTACTTAACACACACACACACACACACACATTCCCGTCATGTTTCAGATGCTGCATACTCTTAAACGGGCTCCTTTTAAAAAACATGCAGACACTGCGTCTCTGTGGGCGGCACTCACACTGAGGCGACTGGTCAGCAAAGTGGAACATGTTTGCATTTCCCCTTCAGATCCAAACTGTGAAGCAGCACAGTCTCCACCTTTTTAAAAGTCTGCTCATGTCATTTAACACCACCTCACAACTTCCTCTATTCTGTGTGCGTGTGCGTGTGCGTGTGCGTGTGTGTGCGTGCGTGTGCGTGTGTGTGTGTGTGTGTGTGTGTGCTGGTGGATAACGCCTCTGGCCATTTTGTCCTCCATTGTACCACACTTCCTGTGAACTTCCAAAGGAATGCAAGGCTGACCCTTTGAAAATTATAGACGCTTTCAAAAAGTCATTACAGGAGATGAACATCTAAAATGGCGTACCACTAAAATACCTTTCTAACTGTCTGTAGAAAACCCTAAAACTTTCATGAGTTATGCCTTGTTTGTTAAAAGAAGAGTGGGTTGGAGGAAAATAAAACACAATTGTGTAAAATCATATTGCTTTTGAGGTTTTGGTGGAAACATGAGCACAAATGAGGCAACAGTGAGAGTAGTCAAACTACCAGTTACACATTTGGAAACAGTCTGGGTCTAAATTTACTCGTCTGAGCCGTCAGTATAAAAATAAGTGAAGAAGACAACGTGTGTGGGGGAGCCCTTAAAGGTACAAACTACTATTTCTGTATTTGTAAAATAATTGTTCCTTTTTTTACATATTTAATTAGGTGTTGGAGGGAGCCTGAGATCTAAGGATTGTAATGTACAACATCTAATTCACTGTAATTGTTGTGCATATGTTTAAAACATAGGTTAAAAATAGAACTTGATTATGATACTTATAGTGCATGAAATATTTAGGAACACTTTCAACTGTGATGAAAATATCCTTACTTCTAAATGTAAGATTGTTTGCTGCAGTTGAGGCTTCACATGTAGAGATATGTATAGCACATGATGATGGCAATTACTTTCCTGTCAACTAAGAGCTGCAGTTGTTTAACCACATCAAGGTATTGACAAACAATCAATCCTTAACACAGTTGAGACAACAACTCAACAAGCGTGTAATAAATAGAACCTACACCCCGTTGTAATTAAGACCTATTTTATGTATTCTAATCTGGGATGTTTTAAAAAGAGATGGAGGCTCATATATCACAAAACGATATATAGAAGCTGAAGGCTGTTTCACTTGTCATAGTTAAG